TGTTTATATTGTTTTGTTTTTGTTGTTTTCATCATCGTCATCTTGCTTTAATTTTGTTCTCTATTTCATAGTCCCCTTTTACTTCTGCATAACTTTATGATTTTTTTTCATCCTTATGATAAAGGACAATTTAGTAAAAAGTGTTGTATGGTTATCTTATTTCTATCAAGTAAAGAATTTTAGATTCAGGCTAACTGAGCCAAACAAGAAAATTTAACTTTACTAGTAATTTGCTAAGTAATCTAAATAGGGGTAATCCTATTACTGTAGGTAATAAAATATTCTCTGGATGCGCTATGAGAGTATCTTGAACCATCAGACCTATTTCCATATTCTTTTTTAGTAGTGTCCTTAGACTGATTTTTTTTTTGAATCCATGCATACTTTGTTCATCCAGTTATTCTTTGCTTTGAATTTTCTTTATAATTCAGAGTCAAAGATGAAGCAAACTTTTATTCTTTTTCTGGCATCCCTATCTGAATCCATAGTTAGGTTGGATTAGTTATATTTTGTGTTCATATGTACTAGTCAATATCCAATGGTTGCTTACGTAAAATAAATTGACTATTCATATCTTAGATTCAAGCTGATCTAGAATTATTCCTCTAAGGGTCGACTAGAGTTGGTCTATAGCAATTAGATTCCTTGTACCTAATTATACCATCCTACTTTTTACTAATCATTTGTCTAATACCGTTTTTTACGAATTTGTCTCCCATTTCGTTTTCATCTCATCACATGGATACGACCTAAATGGACAAATTCATTAGACCAAATTATTGCATAAAAATCTGTATTTGATTTAGTTCATACTACAACTTATTTCAGTATTAATTAAAACTTTCTTTTGTTTTATCTTGGGTTGATTGAAAATGACTGCAACTGGAATCATTCTATAGATTTTTTTTTAAATTTTATAAAATCATAGAACCTTAATATTTTGTATTTTCCACTGGCTTTTGTGTATTTTTTAGTACACATTTGGATCTAAAATTTATGGTAAAAAGATTTTATTTAGGACCTTTTATTTTATCATGTCTTCTTAGACTTCAATAATCACCAAACTGCAGGTTCAGTTTGGGGGATCCCCATTGTATAGAATTCAGAAGAAGTTGGGCAAGGGTGGCTTTGGACAGGTATTTGTAGGTCGGTGTGTTTCTTCTGTAAATACAAAGGATAGAAATGTCTCTGGACCTGTAGAGGTATGCAATTGTTTCATTTTTACTTTTAAAAGATATTGTGTTTGATCATCTTCAATGAGAACAGAGAGTTTTCATCTTTACACTCTACATGATCTCTTTGTTTTCAGGTTGCCTTGAAATTTGAGCATAAAAGTAGCAAGGGATGTAACTATGGACCGCCACATGAGTGGCAAGTTTACAAGTGAGTCTGGTTAAACTTCTTGTTTATTGTAATTTTTTTTATACATATATCTATTTACGTTTACAGATATTTACCTAATCCTTGTCATTCTACAGTACACTTGGTGGCACTCATGGTATACCCCGAGTACACTATAAGGGCCGTCAGGGTGACTATTATGTCATGGTATGTATTGTTTATTTATTGTGCCTCTTTTCTTTTAAATCTTACCTGCTATTAAAAAAAAGCGTGCCTGCTTTTGGTGTTTAGGTTTAAACACCTAACCTAAACACCTTTCTGATTTAGGCCTTTTATTATACAGGTTATGGATATGCTGGGTCCAAGTCTGTGGGATGTTTGGAATAATAACAATCATACGTGAGTGCTACTAAACTAAGATGTATTCTCTAATCTTATACTTGCTATTATGTTGTCTTTTTCGAAATTTCAATTGTTTAATTAGAGTGTGCTCTTATTACAGAATGTCTGTTGAAATGGTTGCTTGCATTGCTATTGAAGCAATATCTATATTGGAGAAGATGCACTCTAAAGGGTAAGCAGTTCAACCCCTGAAACCTTCTAACCTTATGTTGGCCTGAAAAGCATTTTTACCCCACCCTCCCCTGGATTGTTGAATAGCTTAACATGAGAATCATCCTCTGGTTCTCTAATGGTCAATCTCTCATAACAGCAGAACTTTAGATCTTAACTTGAGTATGTTTTGTTTCTTTCAGCTTATTAATAGTTTTTCTGTTACTTTGGGCAGCTATGTGCATGGAGATGTAAAGCCTGAGAACTTTCTTCTAGGTCATGTTGGGACTCCTGATGAAAAAAAATTATTTCTTGTTGATCTTGGATTAGGTAATTTTAAGTCTTATGATTTATATGTTAAGTACTCCCCGATAAATCATCACTTAATCAATACTAACCTGTTTTGGCAATCAGCAACTAGGTGGCAAGATAGTTCAACGGGTTTACATGCTGAATATGACCAGAGACCAGATGTTTTTAGGTACCACAACTGCTTAAATCATGATTATTGTAACATGTTTTTGTGTACTGCTTCATTTTCTTATCTAAAGGGAGTACTTTTGTGTATTAGAGGAACAGTCCGTTATGCCAGTGTGCATGCTCATTTAGGGAGAACTTGTAGCCGGAGAGATGATCTAGAATCCCTGGCATATACACTAGTTTTCCTTCTTAAAGGCCGTTTACCTTGGCAAGGATACCAGGTTGGTCCTTCAATAAGCTCCACTTTTCTAACTCAGATATTCTTGCTTGCTTTTGCTCATGTATATAATGATTTGGAGTTTTCTTGTAATTTCATTTTAAAAAATGTCAGGGAGACAATAAAGGGTTCCTTGTTTGCAAGAAGAAGATGTCAACATCTCCAGAGGCCTTGTGTTGCTTCTGTCCGTTGCCTTTCAAACAGTTTATTGAATATGTAGTCAACTTAAAGTTTGATGAAGAACCTAATTATGCAAAATACATTTCTCTGTTTGATGGGATTGTTGGTCCAAATCCAGATATCCGCCCAATTAGCACAGAAGGTGCGCTGAAGGTACAGATTATTCTTTGTCGTTGTAAAGATTTTTTTTGGGTACTGGGCTTGTTTTGCCGTCAAAGTAATTTTGACTATAAGAGTGTAATAAAAGTTGGTAAATGTTAATTATTACCAATAAAATTTGTTTACTTTTCCTTGGCCAGTAAAATTTAGCATTTCTGACTTATATATATATATATATATAATTTTTTGTGAAGCTTATTAATCAGGTTGGTCAAAAGAGAGGCCGGTTGTCTATGGATGAAGAAGATGAACAACCAAAGAAGAAGGTTCGTTTGGGCATGGCAGCATTGCAGTGGATTAGTGTTTATAATGCTCATAGGCCTATGAAGCAAAGGTATTTATGCCTTAAGTTAATTGTAGTTCAGTTTTAGAGCTGTTTTCTTAATTTAGTTGATCCTATGTGTCTTTTTGCTTTTTTCGGTTGATTTTGTACCTGCGTCGTTTACTGTCTGCACTTGTCATTGTCCTGCACTTTAAATCTAGGAGTAAACTAATTAGTGATCCAGGCCTCAGTATAGAGAATATTCAAGGATGGGAAGTTTAATCGGACATGTTTTCAGGTATCACTATAATGTGTCTGATGGAAGGCTTGCACAGCACATTGAGAAAGGAAATGAGGATGGCTTATTTATTAGCAGTGTAGCTTCCTCTGAAAACCTATGGGCTATTATAATGGATGCCGGTACTGGATTCTCTGCACAAGTCTATCAACTCTCACCCTATTTCCTTCATAAGGTACACATCTTTTCATATACTTTGTCAATGTTGAGCAATCCTCCAGTTTTACGTGTTCCATTTTTCTTTTTCTTCTATGCCTTTTATATCCATGTAGTTAGAAGATGCTTATGAATTCAGATTCTATCATTGTGATTGATTTGATGTTTTGCTGTATGAAGGAATGGATAATGCAGCAATGGGAGAAGAACTATTATATCAGTGCTATAGCAGGGTCTACAGACGGAGGCTCCTTGGTAGTAATGTCAAAGGGTAAGGTTACAGCATCTGATTTTGGTCAAATCCGTTTGGTTTCGTCTACTTAGCTTCGATTCTGTGTTCAGGTACTTCGTATTTGCAGCAGTCATACAAAGTGAGCGATTCTTTTCCTTTTAAGTGGATTAACAAAAAATGGAGAGAGGGATTTTATGTCACCTCAATGGCCACTTCTGGTTGCAGATGGGCAGTTGTTATGTCGCGTGGTGCTGGATTTACAGACCAGGTACTGATCGATTTTTACAAAATTTATATCCCAGCACATTCTTTAAAAGAAGAATATGTAACTGAGTTTTTTTTTTGTATAATCATTGTAGGTTGTTGAACTTGACTTCCACTATCCTAGTGAAGGCATCCATCGTCGGTGGGATAGCGGGTATCGTATAACTGCTACTGCAGCAACTCAAGATCAGGCTGCTCTTATCCTTAGTGTGCCAAGGAGGAGGCCAGCAGATGAAACACAGGAAACTCTCAGAACTTCGGCATTTCCCAGCACTCATGTCAAGGTTGATAAATGACTATATGAACCTTACTAGCTTTTTGCCTTCCGTTTACTTATTAAGTTTCATTACAATATTGCAGGAAAAGTGGTCGAGGAATCTTTACCTAGCTTCCATTTGTTATGGGCGAACCGTTTCATGAGCCTGCCACTTTCATTTGTTTAGGATCTCCTTGGTGACATGGTTGAAGATCCAGGCCTGTCAAACTCTCAACTAGCTATCCATATGGTAAAAACCCAACCCTCCAAGTTGCATCGATGAGGGTGTAGAGAATTTTAACCAGTACAGGCTTTCAAATCAATTCTAACTAAAGTATAGAAACTTGTAGTTGAGCAGTATAGTTGCATTCCTCCGGAAATGATAGCTCAGTCTGTTAACTTTTGCGCAGTTTCAAGTAATAAGTACTTTCGTTTAGGGCAGATCCGAAAACGGATAAGTTTCGCATAATTTATTTGGTGCCGCATTTTATATTGATAACATTGCCAATTTTTGTTTGGTCATTAGTTGTTTAAATCAACCCCTCGATAAAAATTGTCGCTTTAAGCAAAGTTTCAAGCGCACTGCATAAGATCATCATCAGATGAAGGACCCTACAAACTCTTGTTTGTGAAAATGCAACCAAAGATTTGCTTACACTCGACTTCAATTTGTTTCTGCACAACTACTGCTTTTAAATAACAGGCCTGCGACATAACCTCTCCAGTGAAACATTCTCCTGGAACGTAACCGAAACAAATGAGCGTGTTCCGAACATTAATACAGTCCAAAGCATGTTATATGCACGTCATACATGGTGAATGCACACAAGCAAAAACAAAGAGAGGAGATGAAAGAGTGGGTTATTGAGTTCTGTATACCTCAGAGTAGTCATGGTCATAGCAGACAACAAATACGCACGTACAGCTTTTAGCATCATGCGTCTGCCTTCTAACATCCATGACATGGGCGTCACAGTAAAGTTGATAATACTCCCTATCCTAAAAATCAAAGGAAGTGAAATGGTAAGACAACAGCAATGTCAGTATTCCTCTTTGATTACTTTCTAATGCATAGGGTAACTCCCGTTTCTGTTTAAGCATGAGGAACAATTTTTAACTGGATGGTGTTGAACCATATATGAGATCAAATAGAACATAGAAAAAGGAAAATACCAGGTAACACAGCACGAGGTCTCCAATCTTAACCAGATCACATTCTGAAGGTTCTAAAGGAATAGATCGTTCACGAACTGCAGTTTCTACATTCACCCACTCATCCTCTGCTTTATCGAACCCAGAGAATCGTACACGAACTTCCTACCATAAATAACAAGTTGTATGCTTTAACAAATCACTTGCAGCCTCCTCTTTCATAGTTGAACCAGTACCAAAGGAACCAAGCATTAAACAGGCACAGTAAGATACAGGTGCATGCTACTCTATATCAGAAAATACGAAATCTGTAAAAGGATCTTACAAGTTCACCATTATAAAGGACTCTGTAGTTGAGGAACGTTTCAACATCATACCTGAAAGCCAAAGAAATATCAGCAAACTACACTAGTTCAAGTCACAAGGACCATACACAGTTTACAGCTCTGTTATTTTCAACATTTTATTACAACCGCAAAATAATTTTCTTCGAAGGTTACATTAAAAACTTTTTGATGCCTTTTGCATGACTTCGTTTATAGAAATTTCCTCACCATGCATAATCTTTTGATGATCTGGCTTCAAATGACAACTCCTTAAGATCTTCAGCTGTACCTGCATTACAAAATTCCAATCAATACACGAAAATCCTTACGGTAAAACACATATGTTAGACACCAGGCCACTCATTATAGTGATAATTGTAACTGTTGGCTTCAATTGTACAAGAATACATGGTGACATTGTCTTGAAAACGAACCAACTTGAACGATAGCTTAGGCTCATTTGGTTGACATACTTCTATCGAGGATGCGGGCTAATCGTGATAGTAATGTCTACTTCTAAATTGAAATTTGAATAAAGGGTATTAAGAAAGCATCCACAAGAATGCGTTGAATGTTTTGTGCCCATTAATAAGCATCCCAGCCTTAATGATTACGATATTTCTGCACTTATAAAGCTTACAAATTCAATGAAAGTGACTGCTTAATGCAATCGTATTAAATTGAGGCTGTAATGCAGCGTAACGGCTGCATCTTAATGTTGTTCAAGATCATTGCGACACCGCAACAACATCTGCAATTTAAAATCATAGTTATTTTTAGGAAACAAATCATGTCGTAACGTCCGCAATATCTGCAACGGCCACACCACAGCAGCAATTTAGTACTATGCTTAATGTAGCAAGTGATACTAAGCAAAGCTGGGTCATGTAGTATGAAACAAACAACAATTCCCCAATAACTACCAGATATATACCAATAAATTGCCCTAAAAAATGTAAATTTCTGATGCAACAAGTAAAACCTTTTCTTCTTTGCATGAATTCTAGCGGTTTGCTTGAGTTTGCATCAGAAAGATCAACAAAAAGTTCTATGGCCAGTGCTGATGAATCTTGTTCACTTTGCTTCTCCAGTTGTTTTTCTCGGAAAAAATGTTGGACCTAAAACATAAAAACAAAACATGCTTGTGAACGCGGATATGAAGTTACTATGAAATCCATCGTTTCAATTAAATAAAACCAACCTGTTGCCATGTCACAGTAGATTTTCCCAGACGGGTTGAAGAGGAGCTGATAAGACAAAGCAAACCCCAAAAGTAAAAAAGAAAAATGTCATCTTTTTCATTAATAAAATAGAAGAATCTTTCAATAAAAAAGTGAACATTAGCACATAGAGTACTGGGTTTTTTTCTTCTTTTAATTCACCTGAAGTTGGTAGCTAGCTTCTTGCAGAATTCCTCATTAAGCGTCTCATTTCCTTTTGCCTTGTAATTGTTCTCCATTTGCAGAACCTTTCATAAAAAGGAAGTTATGGGAAACAGCTATGTTTTGCAGACTAAAGATGGAAGATGAAGAGGAACAAGCAAAAGGGAAATTCAAAGAGAGCAAGACGCTCACATTTGTTTGATTATGAAAATATAAACTTTAAGATACAGAGGTTAAGAGAGTGGGGATTCATGGCGGTTAACAAGTTAAAAAGGAGGGGAAATGAAGACCCAGAAAAGAGGAAAAGGAGAGAGAGAGAGTTACCTCAGCTAAGGTGAAATGAGAGAGGGAATCCCAGGGATCATTGTCCTCCATTTCTGACCAAAAATCTTAAAATCTTTGGCGACAGACGCAGAATCTTCAATAGTAGATTTGCAGTTTATGATATGGTGTGTAATAAGAGAAGGTTTTGGATTTTAAACCATCTCTTCACCGAGTGTTACTCAACACTTAAATCTTGCACAGCCCAGTCCAACCTTTTTTTTTCTATTTCTCATATTATAATATTTTTCCTTTTTTTAAAAAAATATGATAATATATTTTTTAATTACGAGCTTTGATTATATATAGTATGAAAATGTGTAAGGTCTTCATTGCATGATGGGTGATTGATTTTTTTACATCAGAATTTGTTGTAAAGATAAACTAAAATATAGGATATAAGAGTCAAAACTATTGCAGCCATGGCCTGTTGGCTACGGGCAATAGTGTTCCCCTTTTGTGGATCAACTCCGGGGACGGGGGCGGCGGCAGTGACGGGGGCGGTGATGATGCTTGGAGGAGAGTTTGGAGCTAGAAATGAATGGTGTAATAATGAGTATGGGCTAATATTTCATGTTTTGCATTTATAGCCTATAGGAGAGCATACACCATATTCTACATTAAGCTTTACTTCAAGCTTTCACCTTTACACCACACAAACTCTTCACCTTCACCATCTTCTTCCCCGTGAGCTTCCTCGAACCCTAATAGCTTCTCTGGTGACGGTGTCACTGCCGTTGGTTTCTCGGGTGGCAGTTGAAAAATGCCAGCAGCAGAAGCTTCCATGGCTGGTCGGATACATCCTTGCAATCATGAAATCAAGAACGTTGGGAGGAGTCTCACTTTCCATGGAATTCGACAGCTGGAAATCAAGCATTGGTTGTAGATGAAGTTTTGCTTGGAAAGACCTTGTCGGGCAAGACCTCGATTCGAATATAACATCTCAAAAGTTGGGTCAATAAGATGCAATATATATATATATATATTCTCCATTAGTATATGCTATGGTTTTTTTCCTTTTACAAATAGTTTATGCTTGTTAAGGAATAGTACTCATGCTTTATGGTATTGTTGCGTATCCATGTTGTCCTTAATTTTAGAGTTAAAAACACGAATAAGTGACTTCAGTAGTTAAAAGAATGATTGTTATTTCTAGAGGACCTAAATTTGAACACGACGTCTACAAGAGTGTTTGAACGTTCATTATCATTGAGAGTCTTTCGAACAGATATTATCTTGTAATCAACTTCAATTATAAAAAATAATTTTTGAGTTAAAAGAAAAAAGGTTACGATCAACCACATCGTTTTACTTTTCAATTGAGCTGAACTTAGAATTCTAGTTAGATATATAAATCCCTTAAACCCCTTCAAATCAAGCTCATATTTCGTATACACATCGTTTAAACTCGAGCACAACTTTAGGCATACTTCTAAACACATCAAAACAACAATTTCCACACCATACAAGCATCAAACAAGACACTTTTAAATCAACGGCACTTCAAAATTTTAGGGTTTGACAAACCTCAAATGCAACACACTGACAGCCCTCAAATCTCTATTCTTCAACACACTGACTAATTTCAAAAATATTAATAATGAAAATATCAAATTATAATCCATGCAAAAGAATTCAAAATAAAAGAAGACGGGTTCAAGTCATCTTTTAGTCCTAAAATTAAAATGTGTAAAAATAACATAAACTTTTTAATTAAAAAAAGTTTGACATCAAAGACGAGAAAGTCTCACGTGTGTTGTAGTCTAATATACGGCTTAGGAAAGACCGGTTAAGTCTTAGTTTCTTTTATGATGAAATTCGATAATAATTTGGTTGGGAATTATAAATAATAGCAGTCATGGACCTTAAAAGGTGAAAAAAGGTTTGGCCATTAGCCGCAGTTTCAAGGCTGCATGGTCCACCACCGCCTCCGCCCTACCCTCCCTTTGCATTTGCATAAGCGATCCAGCTCCCACCAAGCACTTCCGAGCATAGGCCACGCAAGGGGTGACAGCCGGTGCCCCCCTTAATGGTAAAATTCAACGTAAGCACAAGTTATAGATTTATAAAGTATACCATTAATGTTTGATAAAATAAACCTTTATTTTCTTGTAACACTTTAGTCTATAACATCTCATTTTGGAGCGAAATAACCCTTGATAGGATGAAAACCGTTAAATGACTAACGTACAACGCTTATAGGTAACGTGACAAATTATATGTATCCAAAGTGATGATGTGACATGTGTTGTGTCATCACTTATGTACACGTGGTATCTGTCACATCATCACTTATGTATATGTGATTTGTGCCACATCATCACTATGAATACATAAGACTTATCATGTCACTGACAAATGTTAACAGTTAGTCAACTAACGATTATCTAATCATAGGCTATTTTGCCTCCAACATGAAACGTCGGAGTTAAAATACTTCAAACAAATAGAGGTCAAAATAATTATTTTATCAAAAGTTAGATGTATTTTTATCATTATACCTATAAATTAATTCATGGTAAAATTATTAAAGAAATGCAATTTATGTGGTTTAAATTTATGTTAACATGACCAACAGGGTTGGTTCAAATGATAAATAACTTAATATCTCTTAAGTAGATCTCGAGTTGGAATCCTTGTGTATGTAGAAAATTCTTACTAGGAGACTTAATCACTATGTTGTTTAAATTTATGTTAACATGACCAACAGGGTTGGTTCAAATGATAAATAACTTAATATCTCTTAAGTATATCTCGAGTTGAAATCCTTGTGTAGGTAAAAAATTCCTGCTAGGAGACTTAATCACTAAAATCAGATGGCTATCCGAATCGGTTCGAATTAATCAAGGACGAAGTCTTGATCAAATGTTAATTAAAGAAAACAAATGTTAGATGTATTTTTATCATTATACCTATAAATTAATTCATGGTAAAATTATTAAAGAAATGCAATTTATGTGGTTTAAATTTATGTTAACATGACCAACAGGGTTGGTTCAAATGATAAATAACTTAATATCTCTTAAGTATATCTCGAGTTGAAATCCTTGTGTAGGTAAAAAATTCCTGCTAGGAGACTTAATCACTAAAATCAGATGGCTATCCGAATCGGTTCGAATTAATCAAGGACGAAGTCTTGAAAACTATGATGGCAATAAAAAAAAATGATAACAGGGATTCAAACCCATATAATGCCTTGAAAGTAATGGTATAAAGGTAGGACAACCAAATTTTACTTTTGCATGGATTAATACAATGGATCGGAAAGCTTAGTCTTCCTTTAGTCCAACGTTGAACATTGAAAATATTAATAAGAAAACAAAGTATTAATTAATTAATTAGAAAAGCAAGTCTTATGGGCTATTGTTTCGTGTGTTACTTTCAAAGCAAATGGATTATTGGTCACATACAGCTAACTTTTGGTTTTAAATATCTTCTTTCATTTTCAAAAAACAATAGAAATGGTTGGAGGTATCTAGGATTGATTCCCATGTCCAAATTGTTTTCCTGCATAATCACTGTTCCACGATTTCTTCTTATCGTTTTTTACTGACACTTTTGTAAATAGAAACGCCACTATATGTTTAATACTATTTGTGCATTAATCAATTCTCAAGTGCTGACACTTGATCGGATCTCCAAGCAGGAGAGAAAGGGGGGGGGGGATGATTAATACAACTAAAGGAAATATCAATTCCACAATTAGAATGCACAGCACGTAGGATCATATTAAGAAGTTTCCCACTCATATCCTTAATCAACTTGGTATATTTTAATCCTTTTTTATACATCCCTGAGGAGCATACTATGCCAACTCTCCTAAAACTTCCCCACGCTTTACTTTGTCGTCATGCATAGTTTCATTCCAATAACCTTGGAATTGAAATGAACATTTGCATGAAGAAGACAAAGTCCCACTATAAATCTCGAAGAATTCTTAATCCAACGGTTGCAAATATATATATATATATATATATATGTATGTATGTATGTATATTCATATTCTTTACATGTACAAGTAAAATTTATCATGTTATCTAATAAATCAAATATTATTTAATTAAAAATGAAATTTTGAAGAGTATTGGTAGGAACATAAAAGAATTGATGAATTGATAGATTTTTTTTCAGAGAGTTAAAAGAGTTACATATAGATGATCAAATTTAACAAAATTAAAAACATTAATTTACAAAAAGAGAAAATTTATTATAAAGAATATTTGAGTTCCATATATTTTATGATAAGTGAGGAGTATATTATTTAAATTTAATAAAAAAAATTTAAAATAAATGATGAATTGAAAAAATTATAAAATAATAAAATAATAAATTTCAACCGATAACTTTTAGTTTTTCATTAGTATTTTGATTTTGTGATGATAAGTTGACGACCAATCAGTATCTGTCGTTCGTTCATCTGTTTAGATGGCAGATTAAGGTTGTCCAGAAAACAACTCGAAGTATGAGACTCGGTAAACTCAGACACCCAAAAATTACAGCCATTATCATCGAACAGAACTCAGAAGAGGTTGATGTCGTCATGATGGTGGTGGCACTTTCGTAATAAACACCCAAATCCAGCTACCCACTTGTCATTTGCAGGCAGAAGAAAAGTCTGCAGAAAAAGAAAAAGAAAAAAGAAACACCGGACACGTTTTTATAGTATTACCTTGTCTGCGCCTCTTTCTCTTTCTCTCTCACATATAAAACCAGCGGGTAGCGAGACAAAGCAAGGGAAGGGGGGAAGGGAGTAGCTTTATATAACGCGTCCTCAAATCTCCACCCAACTCTCTTCCTTTCCTTTCTTTTGAGAGAAAACTTCAAAGATTTCCCAGAAACTAAAAGTTTAATTCTTTTTTGTCTTTCCACATTTTTCTCTCACCATGATCTCCCTGCACAGAAGCTGTTTTCTGGTAATTTGTTCATTTTGGCTGTTTCTCCAATACCCATTTCTTAGAGTTTAATCCTAAAGCTTAGAAGATGTTAAATCTCTGGTTTGAAAATCACTTGATTTTTACTTTTGGTTATGTTATTTGTAGTTCAGGGTCTTTTTTTCATAGCTCTTTTATATTCCAAAACACAACAACAAAAGTTTTCCTTTTTTTCTCTATAAAGATCTCAGATTTACCATAATTTTTTTAAAGAAAGAGTCTGTTTTGTTTTCAATTCAATTTTGTTTCTGATTTTTTTTTTGAAACAGAACAACACCGGCATTTCTGGGTCGTCAGGTCCTTTCTCTTACAACTTGAAGAAGCTGCCACCAGCTTCAGTCAAAGTGACGGCTTTAGGCCCCAACAGGGACCGAAACAGCAGCGTTTTGATTGAGAACAACCACCCATTGAAAGAAATAAAAAATGACGTCACTTCTTCCGTTGCTGACGTGGATCCCGATTCCACCGTTGCCCGCGAAGACCTTGAGGTCTCCTACGATGACGCTGCCACCGACGATCAACTTGTCACCCCTTGGTCTCTCTCTGTCGCCAGGTAAGATTCTATCACTTTCGCTTTCACAATAGTTCTTTGTATTTTTCATCTTCTTTTTTTCCTCTTTTTTGGACGTTGTCTTGTTATCTGTCATGAGCTTAGCTTAATATATGTCTCTCAGATCTAGTATCATTGTCTTTGTCTAAGTTTTGGGTCTTATTTTATATTGATGTCTTTGTTGTGGACTATGTTTGAATGATAGATCTTGATGTTGTGGCCAACAATAATTTATCAATTCTGGTCTTCCATTTGTTGTTTTGTGGTTGTGTTTATTCTTAGAGACTATTAGAATTCCGATGATGCTAGATCGAATGGTATGTTTGATGAACTAGTCTAATCTCATAATCGAATGCGAAATAGCTTTCATATTCTTTCGAATTCTTAGCTCTTCTTTGTCCTCTGCAGCGGGTATGCGCTGTTGCGAGATCCTCACCATAACAAAGGACTTGCCTTCAATGATAAAGAAAGAGATGCTTATTACTTGCGTGGTCTTCTTCCTCCAGCAGTTATTTCCCAAGACCTTCAGGTCATCTACCCTGCTTGTACATCACTTTTTACCTTTATTTGAATCATTCTTGTTGAATTTTGTTTGTTTTCCTTAACCGTGCAATAGTCTAATGAACAATTTTACTATTATTCGCCAGGTGAAGAAAATGATGCATAGCATCCGCCAGTATCAAGTGCCTCTGCAGAAGTACATGGCCATGATGGATTTGCAGGTAACCATCCGCTCTATTAATAGAGTCCTTTGGTTTTGGCTGGAATTATCACTGCATGTGTCTTGATTTCAAAGCAATGATGCTTTGTGCTTTAATGAATTTCCATGAACGACTTTCAACACTTCTGAATTGATTTCGATTTTACTCTTATTTTCAGGAGTTAAATGAACGGCTGTTCTACAAACTTCTCATCAACAATGTTGAGGAGTTACTGCCAGTTGTCTATACTCCAACTGTTGGTGAAGCTTGCCAGAAATATGGGAGCATCTTCAGGCGCCCTCAGGGTCTTTTTATCAGTTTGAAAGAAAAGTACGATTGTCAAATGAGAACTGGTTCCTTGGATTATAGATGTCTTTCTTGAATTCCACCTTTCCCAGTATATTACTCTGATATGTGTCCTTTGTAGGGGGAAGATCCGTGAAGTTCTGAGAAATTGGCCTCAAAGGAATATTCAAGTCATCGTTGTCACCGATGGAGAAAGAATTTTGGGTCTAGGGGACCTTGGCTGTCAGGTATAAATACTTGGAGACAATTGCTTCTTTCTCTCTCGTCTTTCTCATGTATCGTCTTTCTCATGTATCGTTGACTTGTTAATTGGAACTTGTATTCTCAGGGAATGGGAATACCTATAGGGAAGCTTTCTTTATACTCTGCACTAGGAGGGGTTCGTCCTTCTGCTGTAAGTATCTGTAACGATGAGCAATCACTACCCTTTGCTTTATTCGTAACAAGTGATGGCAGTTCCTTGCATATTGCTTCCATTAGGAGGTTATGAATTTGGACAAGCCTTATAATGAACTATAACTTTTGCAGTGCTTGCCTGTAACCATTGATGTGGGTACAAACAATGAGAAATTGTTGAATGACGAGTTTTATATAGGACTTAGGCAAAGAAGAGCTACTGGGCAGGTGTATATGCTTAAACTAAACTTGCTTCATTATAGTTATCGGGGTGATAAAAATAATTATACTAAAGAGGTTTTTTGCTCCTTTTGACACTAGGAATATGCCGAACTTATGCACGAATTCATGACTGCAGTCAAGCAGACCTATGGGGAGAAAGTTCTCATTCAGGCAAGTTGACTCGAGCAAAGACATCTAAGAAATATTAGCTGTATTACATGACTTACGTTTTTGTTTATATGTTAAGTTTAATCATTAATGTTTTCTGAATCTTGAATGATTTTTGCAGTTTGAAGATTTCGCAAACCACAATGCATTTGACTTGCTTGCTAAATATAGCACTACTCATCTTGTTTTCAATGATGACATTCAGGTTAGCATTTAAGCTTAGTTTTATTAAATCAATTAAGCATAAACATTTCATTTATGATTTAGGTAAATTACCTTTTCTGCAGGGAACGGCATCCGTGGTCCTTGCAGGGCTCGTTGCTGCACTAAAAGTTGTTGGTGGAACCTTGGCCGATCATAGGTTCTTATTCCTTGGTGCTGGAGAGGTGAGTTGCTGTTGCAACTTGTTGGAATTCCTTGATTCCATTCTCTATTTTTCTGTTACCTGACTTTGTATTTGGTGATATGCAGGCTGGCACCGGCATAGCAGAACTTATAGCTCTCGAAATTTCAAAACAGGTTTCACATTTAGCATTAATGATCATAGTTTTTATGACATGTTTTATAGTATATGTACATCATTTCATGAAGCCATTGGATATAATACCGGATTACACATGCAGACAAATATGCCCCTCAAAGAGGCTCGCAAGAAGATTTCACTCGTGGACTCCAAGGTAGTAAAAATTCTATCTAGCTCTCCTACAAAGCCATCTAGGTTCTTCATTCTAGTGATTAAATCGCATTCATTTTGTTCTTTTTGCAGGGTTTGATTGTTAAATCCCGCATGGACTCACTTCAGCATTTCAAAAAGCCCTGGGCTCACGATCATGAACCGATCAAGAATCTTGTCGATGCTGTTAATGTGTGAAATCTTTCCCATTTCTCTTCCTTTTCTCACTCCTCAAACAAAAGAAGAAAAGGTTCTTATGTTCTTCATTCTTTGGTCTTATTGTGGCAGGGAATCAAACCGACAGTGTTGATTGGAACATCAGGAGTAGGAAGGACATTTACTAAAGAAGTGGTCGAGGCTATGGCTGCCTTGAATGAAGTACCGTATCTCTCCATATAAATTTGCTTTATAAATAAGTTGAATGATCAAGCTAAACTGATCCGTTGTTTATGCGTGCTTGCAGAAACCTATTATATTCTCTCTTTCTAATCCAACTTCACAATCTGAATGTACTGCTGAAGAAGCTTATACATGGAGTCAGGTAAATACGTCATGCAGCTTTTGTTTTTTATTTCTCAACATTTAACCTATTACTTCTTTCAGCCTTTCTGAAATATGACCGTTAACGATGTGACACTAAATCGTTCTTCCCTTTTTTTGTTCGCCTTCAGGGTCGAGCCATTTTTGCCAGTGGAAGCCCGTTTGATCCTGTAGAATACAACGGAAGAGTTTTTGTGCCCGGGCAGGTGGTTCCTAAAGTGGTTTTACCTCCATATTTGGTTTGTCTTGCATTGAGGGCTAATTTCAGTTTGTTATATTTCTCTTCTACAGGCAAATAATGCATACATCTTCCCTGGACTCGGTCTGGGTCTAATAATGTCGGGTGCGATCCGTGTTCACGACGATATGCTTCTCGCAGCATGTAAGTTCACATTTAACATTTAGGAGTTTCAAATGCTATGGATAAATGAAGGAATGGAGTTTATCCTAACCCTTTCTTTGTTTCTTTGCTCAGCGGAGGCTTTGGCTGCACAGGTGACACAGGAGAACTTCGACAAGGGACTCATTTACCCACCATTCAGAGATATCAGAAAGATTTCAGCCCACATTGCAGCCAATGTCGCAGCTAAAGCATACGAACTTGGTAAAATTCTTTCATCGTCGATTAATATGATACAACATGCAACTCCCATCTTATCTAATCTGAAATAATCATTACCCCATTGTTTGATAGGTTTGGCTACTCGCACCCCTCGGCCCCACGATCTCGTGAAGCATGCTGATAACTGCATGTACAACCCTGCCTACCAAAGCTACCGATGAAGATGGTGAGAACGAGACGGCATCTTCTTTTACCACCTTAATAAAAAACAAAGAACCCACTTTAACCATTCCTTGAAGTGTTATATTTATTTTTTTTGGTTTCGTCATTCTTGAAGTTTTGTTCATCCTCCTGTAAGGTTGTGGGTGTAGTTAAAGATCAAATGAAGCAAATATATAGCAGGTGGTTATGGAGTTGGGAAATGTTTAACATTACATGAAATAGAAACTTGCAAAAGTGTCAACGTTGGGTTTTTTCCCCCATTCTTTTCTTCTCTCCTACTCTTTCAACTTTAATTGCAAAATTCGAATCCATCAAGTGAACTCCGTGTTTAAAGAGGTTATTCTCTCTAAAGATTGTGAGATTGAATAATTACGTCAGCAGTAGTGTTGATTAAGAATATATATTATTTTGTAATAATTCGGCCATTAAATAGTTTTAATGTCCAGAAAATTAAATTGAAGATTTAATCCGGGGAAGATTAATAAATTTTCTTAATGTCCAGAAAATTAATACAAGTGTGAACGGTTATCTAATATGCCCTAAATATATTTTGATTTAAAATATTCTTGAAAATTAATAAATTCTCTAGATGCCCATTTTCCGTTTTCATCCTTCAAAAAATTAGTTTTATTATATATAGTGTAGACACCCGTTTTTGTCCGGGTCTTTTTTATTATTATTTATATATATTTATTATTATTATTATTATTATTTATTATTATTATGTTTATTAATTACATATTACAATTTTTGTAGGCCACTAAGCCCAGATTACAGAAGGTCCATTCCCGGAGCCCAACTAGCTAAACCTAATGGCCCAGTACCCTGAACCAACCCATCAGATTAGGGTTTCAAACCCTAAAACAAATTAGGGTTTTAACCCTAATCCCCTAATGGCAGCCGCCGACTTCAACTCCTCAGCTTCCCCAGCCGTGAGCCAATCACCGAGCCACCAAGCCGAGATGTCCCGTCGTCGCCGACTGTTCTCCTGCATGAATAGTGATCGAACATCCACCTACAGTGACACCCACAGTGATAAAATCAACCAAAAACCAAACCCCAAATTAAAATACCAATAAATCCCTAAATATTCGGGATTTTATATCTTGCAAAATCAGAGAAAGCCATGGGCTATTCTAGACATCATCATCTCACCAAACGAAGCAAAAATCAACCACATGAAAAACAAGATAAAAGGAAGGAAGCAAAGAGAACAGGGAGGCAGGCGGTGATAACAAAAAAAGAGAGAGACCATTCGGGTTTTACAGAAGAAAAGGAAAAAAAAAAGCATAAAAACAAAAGGAAAGAGAGAGAGAGAAGATCTCACCGTGGGTTCGAAGCGATTGGGAACACCAAGAGTCGCTGGATTCTTGTTGCTTCGAGAGGTAACAACCTAAGATTTAGGGGTCTAGATAGGTTTTTAAGCTATAAAGTTTAGGGTTCTGGTTCAAGGGAGAAGAGAGGGTTCGTTTGGGCTCAGTTTCACTTCTCCGGCCGCCGTGCGCAGCCGTCGGCCCCGCCGTGGGAGCCTCCGACCACCGTGGCCGTTCTCTCGTCGTTTGAGAGAGTTGGGAGAGTTCTCTGGAACTCTCTCTCTCTCTTCGTCTGTTAGAATGAAGCAAAAGTGAGGGGAGAAGCCGTTTTGGGGGCTTAAATGTGGGGAGCAAAACGCAGCCGTTTTGGGCACTCCATTCTCGTGTTTTCAGAGTTTTAAAGGGCTAATGGCGTGTTTAGTCCCTGCAGGTTGAGAAACTCACCCGTGTTTCTCATATATTTAGGGTAAATCGCACTATAGGTCCCCGTGTATTTGTAATGTTCTGTTGTAGCCATTAAATGAAGTTTCATTTATTTGATTTCAGATTCTTATGTTTCCTTATTTATATTTTAGTCCTTTTATTATTTGTTAAGTTATTTCTATTAATATTTGACATTGGTCACTATATTTGTAAATATTATTTTAGCCATTGGCATGTGTATGGTCTAATTCCTATTTAGTCTTTTAGGTTTCAGTTTTCTATTTGAGTCTCCTTTTGATTTCTTGTTATATTTTCGTCCTAATATATGTGTTGATGTTTATGATAATTTTTATATATCAGGCCTGGAACTTGTGAAATGTTTATTTCAGTCCTTAAATTTTCTGTAATATTAGTTTTGTTTTATGCATATTCAGGTTTATTGATTTGTGATTAATTTTATTTTGATCATTGTATGTATATTAATGAAATTTATTAACATTTATGTTTTAGTCTTTAAACTGGGTTGCCTTTTATTTTAGTCCATCTTTGTTCTTAGTTTTTATTTTAGATGAGGTTTATGATTTTGGTCATCTGTTTTGCTTCCTTTTCATTTCGGTCCTTTATGTTGGCTTGTGGGTTCGATTGGGTTAATGTTTGATTTAGGCTTAAATTTTCTTTTAGGTTCATTTTAGTCACTGTTTAGTTCATTGTATATTTTTTTGTGGTATTCGAATCTGGTCATGACATTCGTATGTATTTTATTTTAGTCATTGTTGTATTTAGGTTTAATTATTATTCGGCCTTCATGTTTATGTTTTATTGCATTTTAGTCCTAAATTTCGTTTGGGGATATTTTATTTTAGTGTCTGAAATGTTTAATATTTTTGATTTTTACTCTGTTTTTATTTACCATGTTAGTCCTTGTAATTTTATTATTTACTTTTTGATTATTATATTTGGTGATTGTAATATTGATTTGTATTTATGTCAATCGTATCTACATCTTTTTATGTTATGTATTTATTTATGTCATATGTAAATAAATATGTTTAACTTTATTTGTGGTGTATGTTTTATTTTGTATTTTATATTTATTTCCATTTCTTTAACTGTTAATGTTATCTGAATAGTTTCAAGAATGCGAATTTGTAGAACGGGCGTAGAAAGTATCACTTGATCGAAGTGGTACAATCTAATACGACGTTCAAACTAAATGGAACTTGAAATAAATCAATTTTAGTTTGTTAATTGTTAATTCATCTTTATTTTATATTGATCAATGCAAGTTATGTATTTTATTTTTTGTACTGTCAATATTCATTTTATATTTGACCCGTACTTTATCGATTGAGGGAACATTCTTTTATTGATAAGAAATAGACGAGTTAGCTTTCCCAATGGAGGATTGCTAATTTCGAGATTTCTTTTCGAATTAAAGAATTTTCTCTAATTAATTGATTCGAAGCAAATTAATCAATGTTCAATAAACGGATCATATTTTAACTTTATATTTGATTTGAAATTTCCACCATTTTACGACATGTAAGCGACACAGTACCAATTTTGGGCGTTGTGGGGTATTTACCTTTCCCCACACGTAACCGACTCCCGAATCCATTTAAATGAATCTTTGGTAACGCATACCGAATTTTGTCTAGAAAATGATTTTTCTTAAAATTGTTTTAAAAGACGTTTTTAGGTATTCGACCTACCTAACCCAAAGGTCGATGGCGACTCCATTTTCAATTTAATTCAAATCAATCCAAAATCACAAATTTTTTATTAAAGTCATAATCGTTTTTAAAAATAATATTTAATTGTTTCACCTAAAAATGGTTATGACAGCTTGGCGACTCCGTTGAGGACTTTTTTTTTAGAGAGTCAAGATGTAGGTCGCTTACACATTGTCGTTGTGGTCGAAATTATGAGTTCAATTCTTTAGTTAACTTCTGATCCGTTTATTGAAATTTTTAAATTGCTTCGTTTTTTTGTCATATTAGCATTTTATTTTTGGCTTTCAGCTTTGTCAAGATTTTATCATTTTTTCCTTGTTTTGTTTTCCTTTTGGGTCGGAGGTAGGTATGTTCCTCCTCACACACATCACATACATGTGCATAACATAAGCTCCAGACACGAGCTTCGATCCAAATTAGTCGGGGTGAGTGCTTTACTCTCGTAAGAATTTATTCTTCGTATGAGTTTTAGCAAATAACCCATGGGATACATACCTTATACCGTCGTAGGGATTTATTCCTCGTACGGGTATAAGACAGTGAATCCCCTCGAATTGAACTCGTTCCGTTTGAAACCTGTAATGGGTGAGGATCGAGGGTCTGGCAGCCCAAGGGGGCACCGACATCAAGGACAATTCGAGTCTTTTTTTTCCGTTAGAGCCGAAACCATGCATATAGTGAACCGTATAACGGTCACCCTAGGTATAGTTGTATCGAACCTCTGTCCGTCAGTAGGTACCCAAACTAAGTGTACACAAAGGAGGAGCATTTCTGAACCTTTCCTTTTTGCTTTAAATTAGGGTAAATAAAAGCATGCGAACTAGATACCATGCGGTTAGGACCAATTTCTTGAAAATAGATCATTTTGGGTAGATAGCATGTCCGGGTAGGATTGTTATTTAATTGAAAGCATGTTTGGGTAGATATCATGACGGGGTAGGTGTTATATTCATCTCTGAATAACATTTTTATCCGTATAAATTATTCTACATGTACTAACTTATTTTTCTCTTTTGTTTGTGTATACTAACTTATTTCTTCTCTTTTGTTTGTGTCATTTTGTCATTTGCATTGCATTGCATTGCATCATCATAATGCAAAAGTGTTGATCCGTAAGGGGATATTCGAGAGAAAATTTTCACAAGAAGAGATAAAAGTTTTCAATCAAGCGATCACATACACAGACATGCATCGAGGGCTAAAAAGAAGTCCAGAGTACAAGAATGAGATTTTCTCGAAGATCGTGCATCATTCGAGACTAATATGATAATCCACTGATCTAAGGAGTAATCCAGCAGTAGATTCTCATCCACAATTATTCCATCGTTAACCATCAGGGAGTGAAACACAAACTTCAGCATAGCCGAGGCATTAACGGAGTCAGATTACAGAGCACTTGAGGGGCATCATTATTGAGGACGAAGATCCGAGATGAAGCAGTGATCCATTCCAGGCTCACCATCTAAGCGAAGACATGTTTGTAAATTGGATTGTCTTGTAATGTGAAAACTTTTATTTCTGGTGAAGACTATTCTAGGATATTCATCGTTGGGGTCAACATTTTTCCATCTGCATTTGCATCTTTTTACTTTGCACATATATTTTATTTTTAAGCATTTTCATATGCATCATTCATAAAAACATGAGATCAATTTGTGGAGAAGTCAGTGGAAGTAATCCTGATCACGTGACCATATTGAGAATATAAACAAGAAGCTGAAATCAACACGATAGAAGCTTGTTCGATTGAGTCTTCCAGGATGGTTCGAGAAAAGAGTCATCGTTCCCTGAGG